CTCCTGAACTCGTTGAGTTGTCTATCTGAATTCTCTCTTAACTCATTGAGTATTTTAATGATGGCTGTTTTGAAGTCATTATCATTTAGGTTATATATTTCATTTTCTTTGGGATTGTTGTCTGTGTATTTGTTATTTTCCTTCTGTTCTGGAGACTTAATGTATTTTTTCATATTGCTTGATGTTGTAGATTTGTGCCTCCGCATAGAGATAGAGATTAGTTGCTCCTTCCACTTGTTTCTGCTGGTGTGGTGGGGGAGCAGCTGTTTATACTGCACCAACCAGGAACCCCATCCTCAGTTGCTAACTGGGCCTGGGCCCCTCCTCGTAGTCACAGTGGTCCTTTGGATTCCCTCTTCTGCCGTGGGGGCTGTCATGGGGGGGCTTCAGGCTGCTGGTGCCTACTGTTGCAGCCCACCTAGACGTGCTCCCTCCTTGGGGTCTGCAACGGTGTTATGGGCTTTTCCAGTGGCCAGGGGTAGGATCACTTATATTTGCCACTCCGTCACTGTTGGCACCCACAAAATTTCACTTGTCCACTATGGGTCGCAGCAGAGCTACTGGCATCTTCTACAATCTGTGGTTAGCTCATCTAGCTATGCTACTTTTGTCCCGGGGTCTTCCAGCCTTGTGGCTGCCGGATGGGTGCTCTCTACTAGTGCTGTGCAGAGGCTTTCGCTGAGGCTGCTGTGAGTCTGTAGGGTTTCCCCGTAGGCTACGGAGACGGGTCGCTGGAACTCCACCCAGCCCCAGTCCTGTTCCCCAGGAACTCGGGGAGCCCTTTGCCCTGACTGGGGGATAGCCGGAGATCCTGATTCCAGTGGTAGCTGGTCAGCTGCTGTCCTGCCTGATATTCTCCTCTCCGGGACCCTCCTGGTGTTGTGGATGCTGGGCGTGGCCCCTCCGCTAATGGCAGACAGAGAGTTTTGTCTGCTGCCTGGGCAGAACTCTGGAGCTTCCCCCCTGGGCCGTGGAGCCGGCCTCTGGAGCTCCAGCCAGCCCCAGTCCTCTCCGAGATCTCTGGCAATCCCTTGCCCCACGGGGCGGGCAATGGCAGCTGGGGGTCGCCGCACCCTCTGGGATTCTCTCCGGGACTTTCCCAGAGTTGTGGATGCTGGGCGTGGCCCCTCCGCTAATGGCAGACAGAGAGTTTTGTCTGCTGCCCGGGCGGAACTCTGGAGCTTCCCCCCCAGGCCGCGGAGCCGCCCAGCCCCAGTCCTCTCCGAGATCTCCGGCAATCCCTTGCCCGGCCGTGCAGGCAGTGGCAGCCGGGGGGCTGCCACGCCCTCTGTGATTCTCTCTGGGACCCTCTGGGTGCCGTGGACACCAGGAGGGATCTCCCCGCCAATGGCGGGGCAAGACTCTCCCCACGGGCTCAGGTGTGTAACTCTAGAGTTTCCCTCTGTGTTTAGGAGTAATTGCGGGGGGTTTAGGTAGGGTTCTGGTCACCTGTTTCCACCGTCACTCCTCTGGTGTGTGCTCGCTCCTGCCCTAGGTGTGTGTTGATCTTCTGCGGGTGTCCGTTGGAAGAAAGCCACTTGCAGGTACTAGGCTGTTCGGTTGGGGTTGGAGAGTTTTCACCTATCTCCACCTCCTCCCGGAGGGAAGTCCGTCCGCCTTCCGATGTATAGTCGCGTGGGTCTCTCAGACGTCCTGAGATGCTATCTGGATATCCTTTGTTAAGCAATGAGTGTCCAAATAATTGTAGACTCGAAGGGGGAGAGACAAAGAGGACTACTCACAGTGCCACCTTGGATCTTGTCCGGCTGGTGAGTTTTTTAAATGTAGTTTTACAGAAAAATCTACCAGAGGAGCCCTAAGCTGCTAAGCACGATGCTTGCATTGGTCAGCATGGGCACCATGACCATACTACAGGCCTATAATACACTGAATAAGGGACAATATTGCAAGCTGTACCCTGCAGACATCTCCCTGATACTTGGTAGGGATGGTTATAATCTTTTTTCCCATGTTACTTGGGTTTAGGTCTATGTAAGGATGATAGGTCTGGATTAATTGCCTAGATCAAGTTATGCCCTTAAATATCAGAATAGCACCACATATTCCAGAGGGGTTTCTGTTTACTGGCATGAGAAATATCGTCTCTAGCACTTGGCGAGGCAAGCTTCGGGCTACTGAACATTGGGATGGACTGTGTTATACAGTCAGTATACTCTTAAAATGGCTAATTGGAGTCTGCAATCCTCAATTCCAGACCACTCACAGCCTCTTGCATTTCTCCTAGCATAACACTAATGCAACACTCTTCCACACCCATTTACCAAGCACTCCTATGTGTAAGCCTGTGCCAGGTACTGACGATGTAGCCACGAACAAGGCCATCAAGGGCCCTGCAGTCAGAGGCTCTTACATTCCAGTGGAAGAAGAAGGAAACAAGTAACTAAATAAAAATAATAATTTTAGATTATGATAAATGTTAACATTTTCATAGAAGAAAAAAAGTAGAGCAAAGGGAGAGTGGCCACTTTAGATATGGAGATGTGAGTCAAGGAAGGTGCGATGGAAGGCCTGCGTCAGTCGTGTTCACAGTGTAGTTAGTGCCGGCACAGGGCCTTGCACATATGACATATCAAACACTTAGTGGTTGGGTGGATGAACGGATGAAGGAATGAATCTGGACCTCAGGAGTACACAAGATAAGAATGTTCCCCCCGCCCATAAAAAAAAGAATGTCTCCTCTCAAATTTGGGCCTAAAGAGTCGAATAGCACTCTTCTAAACTGCTCATTTTGTACTACAGAAACTGAGGGAAGACCAAAGAGGTTAAATGACTCACATCAGATTCTGCAGTGAGTTGGTGACAGAGCCATTTCTTGATCCAGGGGAGTTTCCCTAATCCAGCCTGGGGAACCAGTGAGGACTTCCTTCAGAAGATGATCCTAAATTAAGCCTTACAGGAGGAGTAGGGGTAGCCAGATAAAGGGGAAGGGCATTCCAAGCAAAGAGGACAGCATGAGTCAAGGCATGGAGAATAGACACAGTACGTGTTATGTAATCTGGTGCTGCTGGAGCACAGGGTGCGAGGAGAAGAAGCTGGAGAGTCCCTCTAGGGAGTGAGACCACACAGTGCTTTATATGAAATCTAGTAAACCTTGAATTGCCTTTGAATGTTGTCATGGAGCCAATGAAGGGTTTTAAGCTGGAGTGTGAAACTGTCAGATTTGTGGTTTAGACAGACATTCTGACTGGTAATGGATCTGTGAGGACAAAAGAGAAGCACGGAGACCAGTCAGTAGGCTTTCCAGTGGTTCAGATGAAGAGACTCAACATGAGCGAGAAAGAGCGATCAAGAGGAGGGTATGGATTCAAGAAAACGCAGGCTCTAAAGTGGGCATGACTTGGCCATGGAACATAAGGGTGAGGGAGTAGGAGCACTCAAGAGTGACTTCTAAGTTTCTCACGTGGTTGACTGATGGGATGACAGTGCCAAGATCAGGAGAGGGAATAAGTAAAAAGGCTGAGAGATACAACACTAAGAGTGAACCCTAATGTGAACTATGGAACTATGAGTGATAATGATGTGTCAATGAAGGTTCATTGATTGTAACAAATATACCATTCTGGCACAGAATGTTGACAGTGGGGAAGGCTGTGCGTGTGTGGGGTTAGGAGGTAATGGGAACTCTCTATACTTTTCACTCAATTTTGCTGTGAACCTAGAACTGCTCTAAAAAATAAAGTCTATTAAAAAAAAAAAGAACAAGGATGTCAGGGAAAATGCTGAGCTCAGTTTGACACATTGAGCTTCTTTACCTTGAGAACTCTTTACCTTCTTTATCTTGGGGAGACCCAAGAAGAAATGTCCACAGCCCACGATTGGGTATATGATAAGGCTCAAGCAGACATCTAAGATAGAGTGACAGACATAGAAGTCTTTAGTTTAGAGATGCTCCTATTGATCCAATTTTTCTTGAAGGAGGCAAAAATTTGTAAGGCAGAGGAAAGGAAGGACTGCACTTCAGGCAAGAAAAAGAGCTAGAACAGAGGCATGGAGCCATGGGCGTGCACCTCGGGGCTGTCAGGAGACACAAGGTTCCGGATCAGCCCTGGAGAGATCACGGTACGGTTCAGTTGTGCTACTGCATGCGGAGCCCTTACAGGTCATATTTCTGCCTCCTTGTCTTTGGAGAGCAGGTGTGCTCACACCCTGGATATTCCTGACTGTTGCATAAATCAGGTGGCTAGCATGTTCCTCTCCTCTAGCCAAGCAGCTGTATGCATCCCACATACGTGCTAAAATGTTCCATTTGTCCTGAGGAGCAAATGGAATGTGACCCAAGAGAGTTCACAGACTCTCACTGGGGCACAGAAATCTGAACTCCTGTGGCAGTTTTTCAACAAGGCTGTGTCAGAATTATCTGTGGAGCCTCTTTTCAAACCCTTCCATCCTGGCTCTGCCCTGCTCCCCCTGCCAGGGGATTTTGATCTGGTGAAAGAGGGTGTGACGCTGCGGTAACCTAGGCATGTGTGTTTTCAAAAGCTCCACAGGTGATCAGAAAACGACCACCTTTAGGAGTCTAATGGGCCCTGTATGTGCTTCCCAGGTATCATGCGATGGTGCTAAAAGCTGTTTTCCATCCATCGGCCAATGGCATCTTTCCAGCAATGGTTACTGATCTTACCCAGTCAAGTGTTTTTTACAGCGCTTCTCACAACCTGGCATTATATTATGGATCCACTTAGTTATTTATTGGTTATTGATCTCCTCCATGAGACTGTAAATGTCATGAAAGGAAAGACTTGATCTGGTTCACTGTTGTATTCCCAACACCTAACACAGTGTTTGGAATGAAGTAGGCACTTGATAAATAAACTTATCGTTGAACAAATCTTACTTTACCTGCTAATGCCTGTTACTTTACAGGGACTGTCCCTCAGCTTTGAATGAGATGATTCTCTTTTGACCTTTCAAATATAAACAAAAACCAAGTACCAAATTGAAATGTATAAAACTGTGTAGTATGTATAAAATCCACCTACCTTAGCATAGTCTAATCTTCCTTTCTCTTGAGCCTAAAATAGAAAAGGGGGAGATTAGTTAGTTCTTTAAAAATTACATAGTGCTTCTACAATTTTTGCCTCTCAAAGAATAAAAGTCAACTCTCTCCCCACTTTCCTCTCCTCTCTATCTCTATAGTGAACTATATAAAACACATAAAACTTTCAAAGATATTGAAAAGTTGAAAGAACAGTGCAATGAGCACACATACACTCGCTGTCTAGGTTTGACAGTGTAGACACCATGACTTCACTCCCCCATACTTCAGCACACATCTTGTAGCATAGGACATCTCATACATGACCACATAACCACTATCACATTTAAAAAACTAACAATGCCATATCATCCAACATACAACCCATATTCAAGTTTCTCCAATTGTCCCAACAATATTCTTTATACTTTTTTCCCCAAACCAGAATTAATCAATATTCACATATTGCATTTGGTTTTCATGTGTCTGTCCAGCCTTTTAAATCTAGAGAGTCTCTCTTCATTTTTCAAAAAATGAAAATAAAAACTGTTAACGTTTTTTGTGAAAATCATCGGCTTTTTGAGGAGATCAGGGAAGCTGTCTTACAAAATGTCTCCCTTTTTGGATCTGTCATATTATTTCTTCATTGTGTCATTTAACTTATCCCTGTTTTGCTTGCCTACTGAAAGTTGGGTCTGAAGAAGCTTGTTTAGATTTAGGTTAAACATTTTTGGCAAGAATACTTTATACGGAAAATTATGTATTTCATGTGGCATCAATTCAGGAGGCACAAAATGTCAGGCTGTCCAACTCTTAGTAATGCTACACATTTGACCACTTGATTAAGGTGGTGGCCATCAGATGGCTCCACTGTAATCACATATTTTCTCCTGTATAATTAGTAAGTAATCTGTGGGGTAAGTTTATGTTTCCACTTCCCTTGGCACAATTTTTATTATGTTGTATTAGGTCAAAAGCCCTCTACCTCCATCAGAGATGAAGACAGGGAAGAAAGGCGGACGCGAAGGAGACCTCCTGCGTAAGGTTAGATTTTATTTACAAAATATTTTTAGTTATGAAAAAACAATTTAAAATTAACACTCAAAAGTGCTATATATCAAATCTGAACGTAACAGAGACGATCAATGTGTTAGTCTTTGCCGATAGGTCAGCTCAACTTCAGAATAAAACTTCTCCTGTCACCTCTGCACAGAACAACGGCCCTTCCACTTAGGAATAGGTTAGTTTTTGTTTCTGTTCTTTTAAGACTGGCACCTGAGCTAACATCTGTTGCCAATCTTCTTTTTTTTTTCTTCTTCTCCCCAAAGTCCCCCAGCACATAGCTGTATATTCTGGTTGTGCTATGTGAGACATTGCCTCAGCATGGCCTGATGAACGGGTGCCATGTTCGCACCCAGGAGCTGAACTAGCGAAACCCTGGGTCGCCGAAGCAGAGCGCGGGAACTTAACCACTCGGCCAGGGGGCCGGCCCCCTGAATACGTTAGTTCTTGAGATGATTTTGTTTCTGAGTCCAAAATGACACTATACAGATAATGAACATGGGCAGATTACTTTCATGAGAGAAAAGGAAATGTTTATAATTGGTCCTGACTCTTCTTGCTCCTTTACAATCTTTAAAAAATTTATCCAAAGATGCCTGCATTTTGTTTTTCTTATTGTCATAATAAGCAACTTAGAACAAGCCACTGCTCATGTATAGCTGTTGGGACCATCACAAATCACTCTAAGTTAAAATTGTGACTTGAATGTTTGAAATGAAACAAAAGTCCCCTGCAACCAGTGTACTATGAAAAAGAAGTTGGGGTTTTCAATCTGCTCTTCAAAGTTTTTTGGGGGGGTTTAGGATTTTCAGTGAACTAAGTCCTGAGATGCATTACACCAAGGGGAGTGTGAGTCAGTTCTTAGACAAATTTTAAAACCAGGCTTATTCCTCTCTCTGCTCAGGTATTTTACATTTACTTGTTTTGTCTTTCTGTCTATGGACATCTTTTCCCAAACTAAAGTAGTTTTGTCTACACTGAAAATGCCCCTCCACCCGCTGTAACTTCAGCAGTGGTAGGGAGCCCTGGAGCACCTCTGTATACGGCACTCGTGACTTACCGCTCCTCTGATGCTGTGCAAATGTGAACTGGCTTTGATCCTACGAATAATCCATGGCTTGTGACCAAAATTTCAGCAGCAGCATTTCGCAATATGCTTAGTCTTTAAGTTCTCAAACTCCCAGCTGTCTCTTGAATTCACTTTAGCTTAACAGATATTTGACACTGAGGCTGATCCTGTGGTCACAAGTGTCCCACCTTTTCAATTGTTCGTCCTTTTCCTCGTCTCCCGCTGATTAGTATGGATTGCTCAGGCACGGCACTTTCCAAATGCCGCACGAACTGGACGCCCTACAGAATTGTTCCTACTGCCAAACAACTCACTCCCGAAACACGTGCCGTTTCCTCATGACTTTAAATTTTGTTTCCGTTCTAACCAGCTCCTCTTCATTCTAGCTCCTTCAACATCCTCATCTTTCAGCGTTGAACAAGAAGGATATGTTAAAATGTTGAAAGTGGTATTTGTTGAAAGTTAGGAAGTTGAGGAGCTTTTGTATCTTGAGATTGTCAGGTAAAGCACGGAGAACTAGACAATTTACAGGGACTTCGGGTGGACTTTTCCTTTTGGAGGTATTGAGCCATTTCCCAATTTTGTCTCATAAAGAAAATCAACAGCAGTTTCTTCAGGTAGTAAGTGAATATAATGCTGCTTATAGGTAAGGAAATCTAGAGAGGTCATCACAAATTTTTGTAAAACCATTTTTCCCATCACATACTTTGTTTATAAACTAACCATCTTAGGGATATTATTTTGAAGCACTTGTGCTTAATCAATCACAAGCTATTTTCAAACTCTTTCATTTTATTTTGTATTCCTAGCTTGGCCACCACCTTTCACCCAGTAGAGATATACTTTCTGGGGGCAACGGCAGAGAAACACCACATATGTAAATCCTTATCTGTTCAACATCAGCTCTTAAATCTTTTGGAAGCTGAGAGATTAGAAGCCTGCATAAAATGAGAGCACGCTTACCACAGCCATTACAGCCTGAACAGACTGTAACTATTGATATGCAGCTCACTTGAACATCCTTTTTATTTTGTCACAGTAAACATTCCAGTTCTATGAAACCATTTCATTCTTAACTGCTTTAGCTTGTACATAAACGGATCATTTATTTTATAAGAAAGTATTACAAATATTTAAATCTTTAGGTATATATTTCCAGCTGCTATGTGGGTTAATATCTACATATGTCATACACACACCTGAAGAGTACATATTCTGATGTAAATTTTTTTTCACAAAAACCTTTTAGAGTTTATAAAAACCTAGCAAATTAGAAACAAATGCAAATGATCATTTAATCCCCCACATAATTAATGCTTCTCATAAACATTATCGATTCTATTTCTTTTTGTAAAACAGTTAATTTGAGAGGGGCCATAGTTTCTGTTTTACCTAATTGTTGCTCATTCATTCAATCATTATCCACTGTGCACCTATCCTATTGTGTGTCAGGTAGTGCTTAGGCACCGGAGACACAGCCATCAACAGAACAAATAAAAACTTCTGCCCTCGTGGGGCTTACCCTGTAGGGAGTCTTGTTTTAGATAGGCTCTACATACGATCCCCCTCTAGAACTTAAGCTCCATGAGAGTAGGGAAATTTTCTCTCCTGCTCACAACTGTTTTCCATGTCTCAATCAGCTCTGGCTATATATAGTCAATGTTCAGTCATTGTGAATGGTGAATAAATGAATAGATGGATGAGGGCTTTTTCTTTATATGTGTCAGTTATGTGCTGTCTATTCAGGAAACTTACAAAGCAAAGTTCATTTTACTCACTCCTAGTTCCAGGATTGCGGGGTGGTTAGGTCTATTATGTAGTTAATGTAGAGACATTAGGTGGTGCCTTACAAGTAATTTTTACCCATATTGAATGATACTATATTTTCTCTTTATTGCCTAATTTTTATTTATAAGTAGACTAAGGAAGGGAATCTATAGAAAATAAATTCAAACAATTCATGAAAATCCAACAACAAAAGGATAGAACAGAGAAGAATGATGGAGTAGCCTTCTCACAGATGCAGTGGCTTAGCATAATTAAGTGCCTCAACCTTGAGAGCAGTGTGTTGAAGTGGAAAGAGCCTGGAACGGAAGTCAGGAGACCTCAGGAGATTTTAAGATGCACATCTCAAAGCCTCATGTGTTAAGCAGGCCTTGTCTATGGAAGAAAGCAAGTGGCCTAAGATCTTAACTGTGACTACTCCAAGAGGCACGGTGACCTCCTGGGAAGATGGATCTCCTGGGAGCCAGAAAATATGGTTTCTGGTCCATAATAGGTTAATACCTCCAATAATGTTTAAATTTTTAATTGGGTCTTAATTTTCTTATCTGTAAAATAAGAACATTGGACCAGACCAGATGTTCCCAAATGCGGGGCTCTCACGAATGCTGGGCTGGCTGTATCAGAATCACCTGGGTAGCTTGTTAAAAATGCACATCCTCAATACCCTAGCCCTGAGATTCTGGTTCATTTGAGGATCACTGGTCTGGACTATGTCTAATGTCCTTGTTAATTTATGCATTTGTATGCATCAGAGTTTACTTTAAAGGCTAGAAGAGAACAAACTCCTTAAGTCTCAAGGAGAATGGAGTGCTGTAACTTTCCCTCCTTTTTCTGACATCTGCCACTTATCATGTATATTTCTAGCAGAGCAAGATATTATTAAAATAACTTTCTCACTGGGGCCCAAAATAGGCTGATATAAAATAAATGCAGACTGTATTTCAACAGCCAGCAGTCCTGAACCTCTTCCTGCCACACTGTTCATCTCCAGAAGACACTGTAAATTCTACCATACACGGCAATTCCCTGAGGGCTTCATTACTAGGGTCTTTAAAAGGGATTCACTCATCTTTTTGCCTCCCGTAGGTGTGCTTCTTGTCAATCCAGGTCATGAGAAAAGA